ACTTCCAATTTCCCAGGAACACTTAGAGTCACAAAATTTAGAGGCTCACAGGTGCTCACTGTTAACATCTGGGCACTGAAAGCCTGGGGGGAAGGCTTTGTTCTGTGTGTTGCTGAACTTCAAGGAAAGCCCCTAGGAGTCAGCATCGTAGCATAAACAGCATCCATATTGCTCTCATCATTATTCTGTATTAACAGATATTTCTATTTTGGATGTAGGCCTAATTACATATTGCTATCTTCATTCTTCAGCAGAATATTTAATATACTTTGAATAAAGCGGTCACTTTATGAATTCTTATGGCTGGCCTTGAATAGATATGTCCTAAGGTCTATAGAGGGGAAGAGGACAGGCAAAAGCCAGCCTCAAAAGAAGGGAGAGGCAGCTGGAATGAAGGTCTGTGTTGTTACTACTCTCACCTGGTGACTTGGATTCTCTGTGAGGGTCCTACCACTCATCCAAACCCTCTTTCCAGGAGGTGAATAGTGGGGGCAAATGGACTTGATTGTAAATCTCTCTCTCCACCCATTCCCTGTGGTAACAGCAGTGGGAGAGTCAAGAGGTGGGCTGGTAACAGAGCCACTGAGAGGAGAAGGATTGTAACTACTGAAGCAAAATAGATGATGGCAGTGGGGTTCCTCGTAGTGAGTTGACCCAACACCAGGTGAAATCACTCACAACTGGAACAGAGACTGAAAGTCCCTGTGTTGTAGCACAAGGTTGCAAGACAATGGAACATGATGACTGGTGGGCTGACCCTGGCTGGACACCAGGTGCCCACCAAAGCCGCTCTATCACTCACCTCCTCAGCTGGACAGAGGAGAGAAAATACAACAAAAGGCTTGTGGATCAAGATAAGGACTAGGAGAGATCTCTAAAAATCAACCATGAACGGGGTGTTGCAGAGGGAGTGGAGAAATGAAACACCAATTACACGGTGAGGAAAACCAGGCAAAAACTACTGCCCACAATATGCTCAGAGGATGTGCCCCTGCCAACTGACAGGGGCAACAGCAGAAAGGACTGTGAGCCAGATACTGCATTTATGACAGTGCAGTCCCTCAAGCAGGCAGTGCTAATGGGCATGGAAGGGAAAAGTAGCTGCCCAAGTGAGCCTGTTCTGTAAAGCTGTACTTTGTGACTCGGGGAGCGTTGAGTGGACAAGTTGGTGCCTGCTGGGGCTCAAACTGATAACCCTGAAATCCCAGCAGAACATAAGACAACGCTTTTCTGTTCTGCACGTGACCGAACACTGGCACAGACTGCCCAGAAGTTGTAGTCCCCATCCTTGGACAGCCCTGAGCAAACTGCTTTAGCTGACCCTGCTTGAGCAGGGGGCTGGACCAGACAGACTTGAAAGGTCCCTCAGCCTCAGCTGTTGTGGGATTTGCTAGTTTCTTTTTTGTCAGTTTCTTGTTCTGTTCAATCTCCCATTAGAAGAAGGCTCACAGTGAACCTAACCATTGCATCTATTACTTTGGGAAGGCAGGGAATTTGAGTCTCTATGTGCATTTTGATATAAAGTGCATTCCACGCAATGCAAAGTAATTGGGTTTTGCAAGAGCATACTAATGATGAACAGGCTAATGCTGCCATTGCTGTGTTCAGCTTTGCTTCTGGATGGAAGATCAGCTCAAGAATACCACCCTCTGCTGTTGCAAGGATGAAGCAATGTTTCAGCTCCTTAGCAATCAGTTCCTAAACACCGTATCATAGAATAGTTAGGGTTGGAAGGGACCTAAAAGATCATCTAGTTCCTATCAGAAAAGGCAGATGCACCTTCCACTAGAGCAGGTTGCTCCAAGCCCCATCCAAACAGGCCTTGAACACTGCCAGGGATGGGGCAGCCACAACTTCTCTTGGCAACACATACCAGCGTCTCACCACCCTCATAGTAAAGAATTTCTTCCTAATACCTTTTCTGAATCTACCCTCTTTGAGCTTGAAGCCATTCCCCCTTATCCTATCCCTATATCCCCTTGTAAAAAGCCTCTCAGTTATACAATTATGATATTCTGTAGCATGCAGCATGCTACAGTTGTGATGACAGTAACGCACTGTTTCTTTAACTTAGAGACAAGATGTGGCAGGAACTGAGATAGTCAGGTCTCAGATACGCTTCTGAAATGTCCATGGATTACCAAAGTTGCTTGATACATGTGGAAGTCAGAGTAAAGGGATACCTGGACTAACTACCTGGAAATGGCATCCTGAGGCTGGATAAAGCCTGATCTGATTAGCATTCAGTGTCAGTGCTGGCAAATAAGGGAGAACAGAAACTAAGAGAGCAACAGAAAGATGAAGGGTTACTGCTTCCTACCTGTACTTCAGACTCTCCTCCCTAATGAACCACTGCAGTGCTTGCAGGCTGCTCAGGAGGTGGCTCAGTGATGAGAGGTATTGCTGCGGTACTGGGTGGTATCAGCGTGTGGGTCAGGGAGCTTGTGGGGCATGTGGATGCCCATCACATCAGAGCCGGGCTGCAATCCCCCTTCCCTCCTTCAGTGGAGGTAAGAAGAGTATGAAGGATGGTAGGACACCTCCCAGCCTGGCATGAAGGCTGGGAGTAACTGGCCAGCAAGGTCTTACAACGTGGCTTTTTAGCGAGAATAACAGCAGTTTGCCTTAAATTGGTGTTTGCAAGCTGTGGCAGTTCAGGAGCTGAAAAGTGGCTCTCAGTTCAGGCAAAGTACTGAGGCTGGGCTATTCATATTTTCAGCTGGCGTCTGCTTGCTCATTCTGTGTTATTAACTTCAAATCCATTGGCCCACTTCAATCAAATCAAACAAGTTGTGTAAGAATCAATAGCTAGGCAGAGGCACAAAATTCGCTGTAGGACACAGAGAGAAATGTATACATAGATGATTTCATACTGTGCCCCAGGGAAAAGAAAAACCAAGCTTAATTCAGTAATCTAAGCTTAGGTGTCTAATTTTAGACTCCCTTGAGTATCCTTCTCTGGCCTCCAGTTGTTGCTCCAGAAGAACTCGGGTCTCCTGCATGTCCTGTGTCAGCCAAATGTGGAGATCTTCATTACTCTAGGGTATCTTGAATGCCAACAGATTGCTAGCTGTGTGAAACAGAACTGAGCCTCCTGGGCTTATCTGCTTATTTACAGTAGATCCGTGATGTGTTTATAGTTCAGGTAGTACCAAAACAATGTCTCCACTGAAGAGAAAAAGTCTATTTCATCTCAGTAGTTGCTTGGTCTTTAGATGGGCATCCAGCCACCGCTGCCTGGTCAATCAACAGAGGCATAGCTCAAAACCAGGCCCAGTATGTATCATCCCATACCTGGTATTAAGGAGCACAGCAGGGAGCTGGGCTGCTGGCAGGTAGATGTGTGGAGAGAGGATGGAGGCTGTAGGCATTGTCAGGGGAGAGTGATCTACAGGAGAGTTGGTCTAATTCCAAAGGGTGAACTCACAAGAGAAATGCTGGAAATTAGTTAGGATTATGGTACTGGTGAAGCTGTAAAGTACAAATCCAAAGGAAGTAAGGATTTGTTAGTTCTGCTACTCTTTTCTTTTAGGTAGTTCTAGCTGGTTTTTTTCCTTTTCTTCCTGAAACACTCTGAAATGATGTTTTCTAAATGAAAATCTCTCTTAGATCCTTATCCCCAAATGATTGATCAGCCTTAACAAGCAACCAGACTTGAACAGTTATTCAGGCAGCTGAATAACTTAGCAACAATATAAAAACAGCTGTCTGGGAAGTCTTGTCAACTCTTCAGAACCAATGCAGAGGTATTCTAGGCACACCTGGGAAAAAGGTTAAGATGGGTTGGCTTATATTCCACATTTTGATATAGAGATTGATGGCCGGTGTGAAGATTGAATATAGCAGTTTGAGCTGTCATACGGATCTATTAAACAAGAGGCTGAGTGAAAATTTAAATTGTTCTGGAGAAAAAGCCATTTCCCCTTTCCCATGTCTCATTTCTAGCCTTCAATTTTGATGGAAGCAGCGTTTTTTAATTGGGAGGGCTTATTTGGCCTTTCTCAAAAATAAAGCAGAGGAAAACATGACATTGTTATGAGGGAGGATTACGTCCTGCACTGTGGTTAAGCCTATGTGTAGTTTTTAAGGTAAACTGAATGCATTTAATTCTTAGAAATGAGAATCAGCAAATACATAGAATCACAGAATAGTTAGGGTTGGAAAGGACCTTAAGATCATCCAGTTCCCACCCCCTTGCCAGGGGCAGGGACACCTCACACTAAACCATGTCACTCAAGGCTCTGTCCAACCTGGCCTTGAACACTGCCAGGGATGGAACATTCACAACTTCCCTGGGCAATCCCTTCCAGTGCCTCACCACCCTCACAGGAAAGAATTTTCTCCTTATATCCAATCTAAATTTCCCCTGTTTAAGTTTTAATCCGTTACCCCTTGTCCTGTCACTGCAGTCCCTAATGAAGAGTCCCTCCCCAGCATCCTTATAAGCTTCCTTCAGATACTGGAAGGCTGCTATGAGGTCTCCACGCAGCCTTCTCTTCTCCAGGCTGAACAGCCCCAACTTTCTCAGCCTGTCTCATGGCAGCTTAACTCTTCTAGACTTTAACCATGTTTGTCCACTGAAGGGTACTGTCAGACTATATTGGAGATAATGGGGCCATTTATAGTTCCAGTATTCCCTCAAATTTTGATTTATAGCTTTACTGGAACCTGCATCAACTTGCTTATCTGATGCCGATTTCCAGGGATTTGGATGAAAGCCACATACAGCCACCATTAAACCTGGCATGCTGACTATGACTTTTTGTAATATGTCTTTAATCCATGGGAGGAAGCTAGTCAAGGTTTTAGTTATAGAGGGCCAAGTCTTCAGGTTGCATGAATTAACTGTCACATTGAAGTTGACAGACTTATGATGCTGATTTAAGTAAGTTGAGGTTCCAGCCTAGACAGTGAATGAGAAAGCAAAGCAGGGCAGGGAGTGACAATCAGTTTCAAGGAACCTTTCAAAAACTTGCCGATTAGCTCGAGGCAGTACTTACATCCTGGTTGGACATCTCCCAGTATGGTCTCTCACCGTAGGACATCACCTCCCACATTACAATCCCATAGCTCCACGCGTCACTTGCTGAAGAGAACTTCCTGTAAGCTATAGCTTCAGGAGCAGTCCATCGTATGGGGATTTTTCCACCCTGGAAAATATGTTGCAAACTTGTCAGTATGGCTGGAATACAGAATAGCACGTGTTTAAATGGAGAAAAAAACAACCTGGGTGCTGAGATTTGACGTTCTCTCTTCTGTCAATTTGCCTTGTCAGTTTGCTCCAAGTGGAAAGGAAGAAATACACCTCTAGAATTTAATAAAAATTCATTTTTCTTTGTAGCCTGATTCACCAAAAGCAGCACTTTGTGAAAACAAAACTCAGTTCAAAGAACAGAAAGCATTTAAGATGATTCATGCTTCTTTAGACACATAATTAGAGCATGCCTTTTGATTTAAAACACCTGAAGCCTGAAATTCCTAGGACACTGACATTAAAACTCTTTCCTTAAATGAAAGAAACATCTATTGCAAAATGGAACAACAAAAGCACTTAATACAATTGCATAATCAGAAAGGAAACTATAGGCTTTCTGTTGTTCTTGCTTTAGATAATCTCATTTAATTTCTGTTGTGCATTTAAATAACCAGGCAAGTAGCAAACCAAGTGTGTGTCTCATTCGTGTTTCTTTGGGATATTGAATAGCTTCGTTCTGCAGGTTTCAACTTAAAATCCGAGTACTACCATGCACAAAAAACAACCAACCAAAGGTAAGAATTCCATCAGCAAACCTGACTTACTCTTTACCACAAGATGCAGAACTTTTCTGACATTAGTAATTTAAACCATTCGACCTCTTCCGTTCTCCCACAAATAGCTTACACACAAACCCCACTTCTGCATTGTATTTCTTCTCACATAGAATTATCTTTTCGAAAGTACACAGTTTTCTTTCCAAAACTACATTTATTATCATTCTCCATTTAACTCAAAAGTATATATAAAGAGCAGTACGCTTAAGGTGCCACTAGATGGTAGAAGGAGGCAGTCAGCAGTAGTTCCTTTCAACAAGCAGTAATAGATTCTGCTCAGCGTTATAATTGTATTTCTGACAAACAAAAGCAGAAATGAACTAGAACATCCACTTGGCAATCAAACAGAAGCCACAGTTAAAAACAAGTATGTAAATCGCCCTTAATTTGCTTTGAATAAAGAATTGTCTGCGAGTTGTTGAGGCCTGCCTTCAACTGCCTGAGAGGATGCTTGTTTTACTAAGAGAGTGCTCAAAAGCAAAGCTCTCTCTGTGTGTTGATGTGCCAGTAAGCTGAATTCTCATCCCCAAGTCTCACCTGCTGATGAAAAACCTATGGTTAACATTTATGTTGTGTGGTTAACGTTTATGTTTTATGGTTAACATTTATATTGTATGGTAGTTATGACAGTAGCCAAGATATCCTTTGTAGGATGGTACATATTTTGCAGCTGCTTTTTAAAACCTTTGCTTGCTCAGCTGTAGTTGGAGTCAGTGGCAAGCCACTTACTGATTTCTGCAGTAGCGATGTCTGTTACTATAATCAAGGTATTACAATAATCAGTAATAGGAAATATATTTTCAGCTACTCTAAGCCTTATGTGTTCTTTTATTATGCATGAGCAGCTATTACTACTGTTCAGTCTCATAGATCTCTTAAGTATTAAGTTTATTTACAGTATTAAAGAATACTGTATTTCAGCCAAAGCACCCCCCCTACCTGCTTTTAACTCAATAACCTGGTGGTCAGACCACTGCTGTGAGGTGCAAAGGACTTCACACCCCACGTGCTGCTGCCTCTGAGCCTGCCCTTGCCAGCACTGCAGGATGCTACCGGTCCCTTCCTAGTAGAGCTCTTCCACTTGGGAAGCAATTACAAATGCTTTGGGTACGAGAATGAAGACAGGGTGACAAAGGAGTTTTGTGAGCAGACATTCTCCAAGGAAAGACCAGCCTAATCCTGTCTCCTCCCCAGGAAACAGTGAAACCTTCCAAACAGATTGGATAACAGCGTTTTGTGTTTGATCTCAGTCTGGTGACAACAGTGTTTTGGTGGGACATGTGAGTCCAAGCTTCCTGAGGCAGTGGAAGATGTAGATATTCAGTGCCCCAAATGTACACTACACACTGAGCTGTACAACCAAAAGGATTTGTCCTTTGAGAAGCAGAACGTTTTAGGGTGTAAGTGCAAAATATAGTTCAAAATATTGCCTCATACCACAGAGTTATGGGCCTTATCCTTTTAACTGGACTGGGCTCAGTCCTTTAGTTTTAAGCGTTTTATTGTCAAATGTATGTAATTCCACCCTTAGATCCCTGGCTTCTGCAGCTTTTTGGGGACATTTTCCTAGCCAAAGTCACAGGTAGGAATTTAACCCCTTTGGACCTGGGCACATGCACTTTTAGAAAGGTAAGCAACAGTCATGACAATCTGTATCACAAGAGACATTGCCCAGACAACCCTCAATGCCCTTCCTCACCAGCAGCATATCGGTCCTGTCTGTTAAATGATGCAGAATGTGAGACACCTGTTCCAGCACAGGAGTTCACTGCCTTAACCTTGCCTTACAAAGCAATCCCCTTGATGCCTTTGGCTTCATGTCTACTCAAGATACTTTTTGGAATGCTAAAGCATTTGAGGGAGCATGCAAAAATAAAAACTCTGTATTTTCTTTCCTTATTACAGAACTCAGGAGGTGACAGGAATGGTTGTGTTAATGCAAGACTTTGTTTATCAAGACAAACTGATGAATCAACAGGTTTACTATGAGCCCGACTTCTAATTTGTAGTGGTTTTTTAAGAATTTATTATTTTTTTCAATATTAATGAAAACTTATTACGTTAATAATTAAATACTTGTAGGGAAAACATAAATCTATACATGCAAATAAAGTGCATTTGGATATTTATAGATTTTACTTCTAATGTCTATAAAATAATAGGAAAATTATTTTTTAAAGTGTGTCCTTTTCGTAAATCTGATTATGCACTCCCAAATTACACTCAAAAAGAAGCAACACCTTGAACAGCATTTGCAGCTAACTTTGTGACTACTGGCTAAATATAAATGAGTTTTAAAGAACCTGATTAGACTACGTCTCGTTTCGTGACACAGCTTTACTAATCCCTATTGGACTGAAACAGTAGCGGCTCCTTGAGTGTGAAAATGAGAATGGAGAACAGAGTCTTACCAAAATTCAAGGCAGTTCCTGTTCAAGGGCATAAGATGTGTTCAGTGCTGTATTGTAAAATAAGCATCTTTTGTGCTGGCTGTAATGACAAAGTGAAGCAAAGCCTCTAAAATTTTCACAGTGGATTCATCTTGTGCATGAAGATGTTATATTCATAAAAATGTAAATCTCAGTACTTAATTATGTTTGCAGAATATCTTTCCATGCTAAAAGAAACCGCTTTATTTATTTGAAAGCCATTCAAAAGGAGGAGATTCCAGTATGACTACCGCAAGAGATCTATATGACTGAACAGTAGCAACAGCTGCTCATGCATAATAAAAGAACACATAAGGTTTAGTGTAGCTGAAAATATATTTCCTGTTTCTGATTAGAGTAATAACCAGTGTTACTGATATTGGACACGTCTTCTTGCATTTTGATCTAACTGGGACAATAATAAATGCAATTCTTACTGTTTACACAATGTCCCACCTTCAAATTAAGATAATTTAAAAATAACCTACTTTTTTCTATTGTAGCAATGAACTCTGTCACAGCTCCCTGTATCAGAAAGCCCTTAAGGCAAGCCTGTTGTGCTTTTAGGTTATTCTTTCTCTTTCGGGAGGGCAGGGGGAAGGGGCATAAGGGGTGTTAGGAACCCAATTATATTTCTGTCTCATCTCATGCATTAATATCAGTGATAAGCTAATTTTATTTTCACACAGTAAAAGAACCCTAACAGTGCTATTCAAATAATTGGAATTCAATCCTTTTTTTCCCCTATGCTGCTAGCTGAATACTGTCCATCTCCTGATTTTTTTCTTGATTGTAATTTAATAAGCAATTTTACTATGCAGTCTCAAGACTCCCCTTGGAATTAGATGAGGCTCACATTGCTTAGCTTGTAGAACTGCTTAGAGATCAGCCCCTGAAATGAAATTCACCCCTCGCTCACCCATGCCCACACCTACATAAGCTCACTTTCCCTACAGAGTTGGCAACAGCACAGTTTACCACACATTTAAAGACAGAATGGGAACTACAAGCTGCAGAATGCATCACTCTTTACCTCAAGCTATGCATAAGAGAGAGACAGACACCCTAAAATGCTGTCTCTTCTTTAAGCTTACAACAACAAAAGTGGTTGTGATCTGGTATGTGAAAAGACCCTGGTGAGGCAACCGACAGACTGCCATGTATTGTCCACAAGCACGTTTTTGATTTGATCTCATTTGATTTTTTGTTGAATGTTACACGTTAGACATCTTTTTAAACCCAAGAAATGTTAACAGTTTCTTTAATCAAATATTTAAATACAGTTTAAAACTCCACCAGAACAATGTAAGTGGCAGCTAAGGCCCCATTATTCCACCAAGGTGAAGGTCAGGATGTATCAGCACTATCAAAATGCATGATGTGAAAAATGGCAGAGGGAGCACAGAAGCAAAGAAGGAAGCCTGTTAAACGCCCAGAACTTCTGGCATGCCGTGCTAGCTAATTAAAGTGAGGAGTGCTACCACTGAGAACCTCAGATAGAAAACTGAAGGTAAGATGTGTGGATGTGCCAAGACAGTGATGCACGTAAGCAGCCAGAATCAAACGCAGCGCATCAGACCCGCGATGCCCTCGAACTAGCAGCAATGTGAAACAATGCCTTTTTCTGTTGAAAAGCCTGTTCTGTATTTTCTTTGAATGACAGACACTGCAGAGGGACTGTCACAGAGCTGGCTGCAGTTTTACTAAATGCCGAGGTGCAAACCCATCGGTTCCAGATGTAGAGAGACATCTAGAACTGTCTATTTCTAGGACAAAAGCTACTGAACTATGTGCACCATTAGTCTAGTCTGGCACAGTAATTCCTATGCATCTGTCAGTATTTCTTTATGTATGATGTTACTGAATCGTGCAATAATTTTCCATGACAGAAGTGTATCTGTCTTTTTCTT